AAGGAAGCACGCGCATGCTCTTTGGAGTCTATTCCGTCACATCACGATGGTATATTCGTCCTCTCACTCGTTTGGTTAGTTATGTACTTACTTATTATTTATTTTTAATAAATTTAATTTAATTTTTTTACATATATAAATTTATATATAAATTTAATAATTTACATAAATAATAATTACAAATATTTTTATTTAATTAATTGTACTTATCATTTATAAAATATATTACATTTTTATCTAAAATTAAAAAATAAATTAATTAAGTATATCAAAAATGAAAAATAGAAAGTTGTAAGGAATTGCATGAGGGTATATTCGTTCAATATAAAAAAAAAAATCGAAACAAAGACTGCAGAACTGGGGTTTTGTGGTGATATATATATATATATATATATGAACACAACTTACTAGGCAACGAGTTAACCAACTTCCTTTGGTCTTTAGGGGAAAAAAAATTATCATGTTTTCTTAAAAGATATAAGTTAAAAGTTTTTTAAATATAAAAAAAAAATATTTAATTTATTAATTATTTAATTAAATTTATACATATGTCAACTAATTTTAAAATTAATATTTATTTTTATATTTTTATATAAATTTATTAAAAAATATTTTTAATATGTGTCTTAAACAAAAAAATTTTTTTTTTAAAAAAAATATTATATTGTTTTTTAATTCACTTTTTGTTTTTCCTCGCGCTTCTTTACTTTTTACTCATATTAGCTCTCTTTGCTTTCTCTATCTCCTCCTGTGCTTGTCTGTAGGATTCCACACATATTTCGCCAAACACAGCACAAAAAGGGGGAAATTTCTAGAGAGAGAAGAAAAAGGCTAACTCGCCGGAAATGCCTGTCTCTCCGGTGACATTCTGGCTATTTCGTGGACTCTCTGAAATGCTGGGATAAGACTGCAGAGGTGTAGAGTTTGTATTTTCCGAAGGGATACGGGAGAGTTTGGGAGTTTATTTATGACCACAAAATGCACGAAGCAGTATGCAATCACCATTCCGACGTTCAGATTAACGGCAAGAGGAACAAGTCTGGGGAAGACGGAGACAAGGAAGAGAGAGACTCGCGCCATCTGGTTGTTGCTGTTGCGCCACCGCCGCACCGGAGTCGATCCCAGGCTACCACTCGGCGCGTGACTCCCACGAGCATTACTTCGGACGCCTCACCTGTCGAGAGGCTTCTTCCCAACGGGGATCTCTACATTGGGAGCTTCTCTGGGAGCGTGCCGCACGGATCGGGGAAGTATTTGTGGAAGGATGGGTGTATGTATGAGGGCGAGTGGCGTCGCGGCAAAGCCTCGGGGAAAGGGAAGTTTTCGTGGCCGTCCGGGGCAACCTTTGAGGGGGAGTTTAAGTCGGGACGAATGGAAGGGTTCGGGACATTCATCGGATCTGATGGAGACACCTACCGAGGGTCCTGGATCGCCGACAGGAAGCACGGAAATGGGCTGAAGCGATACGCGAATGGAGATTTCTATGAAGGATCCTGGAAGAAGAATCTGCAGGACGGGAACGGTAGGTATGTCTGGAGCAATGGAAATGAGTACGTCGGTGAGTGGAAGAACGGCGTGATATCGGGTCGTGGCGTGCTGTTTTGGGCCAACGGGAACCGCTACGATGGCCACTGGGAAAATGGGGTTCCAAAAGGAAACGGGGTCTTCTCGTGGCCTGATGGGAGTTGCGCCATCGCCGCGTGGAATGAGGACGAGAAGATAATCCAGCAGCTAAACGGGACCTTTTATCACGGGAATAATGGGAAGGAGCAGTGCTTGAAAGGGGGTGAGAGTTTGGTGTTGATGCCTCGAAAGAGGTCGTCTGTGGATGGAGCCAGGGGGAGCCTGGCAGAACGGAACTTCCCGAGGATTTGTATATGGGAGAGCGACGGTGAAGCTGGGGATATTACTTGCGATATTGTCGATAATGTAGAGGCTTCGATGATTTACCGGGAGGGGTTGGGGCTAGGTGGAGATGGGTTTACGCAGTTCAGGAAGAGTCCATGTTGTTTTAGCGGTGAGGTGAAGAAGCCTGGGCAGACCATATCTAAAGGCCATAAGAATTATGATTTAATGCTTAATTTGCAGCTGGGTATTAGGTGAGTTTGTATCCATGGCAGCATATGGTTTGCCTGAAACGAGTTGTTCTTTCTCTGGTTTAATAAGTTGTGATTTCATTTTATAGGTATTCCATTGGGAAGGATGCTTCTATTTTGCGGGACTTGAAATCGCATGATTTTGATCCTAAAGAGAAGTTTTGGACTAGGTTTCCGCCAGAAGGGTCGAAGTTGACACCACCCCATCAATCGGTGGAGTTCCGATGGAAGGATTACTGTCCAATGGTGTTTAGGTATTTCTCCTTTTTTTTTTTTTCTTTTTTTTTCTTTTTTTTTATAATTATATATCTTCTTATTGCTTGTCTATTTCACGAGTTCCGATTAGTTTTTTCTATCAATTTCCTGTCTAAATTTGGGGATGCTGTTATCAGTTAGAGGCCAAAAGCTTATGTTAATTATATATACATGATTGTTATGAGTTTTGAGTTCTGAGCCCCAGTAATGATTTGCTTCATTGCTGCTTTGGTTTAATTTCTTATGCTACAATTGGTGACTGAATTCTCATTTTTATTGTGGGTATTTTAGACGTCTAAGGGAACTATTCCAAGTAGATCCTGCTGATTACATGCTAGCTATTTGCGGCAACGATGCCCTTAGGGAGCTTTCTTCACCGGGCAAGAGTGGAAGCTTCTTTTACCTTACTCAAGATGACAGGTTTATGATTAAGACAGTGAAGAAATCAGAAGTCAAGGTTAGTGGCCAACCTATTTGACTTCTAGTTAAAGTTATGCTCTGTCTAGACAAGATAATTTTAATTGCATAATTAGCAGCTACTAAACCGTTTGTTTCTTGTCTTAGACTTTACTTTTTTAGTTAAATCGAACATTTGAAAGGTAGCATGATTAGATTGAACCCAAAGTTGGATCATCCTTGCTCAGGTTCTTATCAAGATGCTTCCTAGTTATTATCAACATGTCTGTCGGTATGAAAACTCCCTTGTGACGAAGTTCTATGGCGTGCATTGTGTCAAGCCAGTTGGAGGCCAGAAGGTTTGTGTTAAAATGAAAGATAACATCTACAATGTGTTGATGTGGTTTGTTCATTTATGAAGCTTTGTGCGCTAACCTAATCACTCTTATATTCAAACTCCAGACTCGGTTCATTGTAATGGGCAATTTGTTCTGTTCTGAATACCGAATCCATAGGCGGTATGACCTTAAAGGGTCCTCCCATGGACGCACAACGGATAAGCCTGAGGAGGAGATTGATGAAACAACAACCCTCAAGGACTTGGATCTCAATTTTGTGTTTCGCCTCCAACAGAATTGGTTCCAGGAGCTTATGGAGTAAGCTCCTAAGAAAGTTCATTTAATTTCTTTTGGAAATTGCTTCTCCTTCTGGATAATTTTTCTAATCTTTATTTACTTGTGCTACAAAATTATCAGGCAAATTGATCGAGATTGTGAGTTCTTAGAGGCTGAGAGAATTATGGATTACAGTCTATTGGTTGGTCTTCACTTCCGTGATGACAATAGAGGCGATAAAATGGGTTTATCACCATTTCTTTTACGCACTGGTAATTAGGAGATGTGTTAGATGTTATATGAGTGATTTTCAGAGCATTATTCTGTCACTTAGAATTTAAAACTAAATATAAAACGAAGTGTCTGTTCTCTATGCAGGAAAAAGGGACTCATATCAGAATGAGAAGTTCATGCGTGGCTGTCGTTTCTTGGAAGCAGAGTTGCAAAACATGGATCGGATTTTGTCCGGCCGGTATGTTTGCATATCCCAGTTAATGTTATATATGGTTCAAAGTAACCACCTCCTTCGGTTGGCAATTTGTGGTGAATGATGCTGAAATTTATTATTTGTTCTCTCTCTTTCTTCTTCTTCTTCTTCTTTTTTTTTTTTTCTTTCTGTTGACAATATTGCTTGTCAAATTCAATTACAAATCTAAAGGATCTAGTGGTTGAGGTTTTTCTTCCTTTCCCAATGGAATCTATCAATGACTTGTCTGGTGTCTCTGATCTTATTTGTTGGAATAATTCAAGGTGGGCTTGATTGTTTTAGTGATTTTGTGGGGGTGTCTCAGTAGGGAACAGTGGTTTGTGGGGCATGTATGCAGTCAGCGTGGTCCATCTGGTGGTTGATAAGGACCCAGTTTTTTTCTTGATTTTTAGTGGTAGAATCTATTGCTTGTTCAAAGTGTCTGATGTTGGTGGCCATGAATGGCAACAGGGCACATTCAAATCTCTTTCAATGATTTTGAATATGGAAGTGGAATGATTTTGGATTCCTTTTCTGGTCTCCATCCCCTGTGATTCAGTGATGTAAAAGTTAAAAGCTTAGAAATTTTGAAGGACGACGAATTTGGAAAGAACTGTTGCAATTTGATGTCCATCAGCAATTTTTTGTTTGTTTTGTAAATTTATTTTCTTGTCCTTTCTGGTTTGATTTAAAAGAGTATCGTCAAGTGGATCATTGATGAATACTGATTTATTTTAATCTTCATTTTTTGTTGCCTGCAGGAAACCATTGATTAGGCTAGGAGCCAACATGCCTGCAAGAGCAGAACGGGTGGCTCGAAGGAGTGACTTTGATCAGTATGCCTTGACACCTTCACGAAGTGGTGAGGTTTACGAAGTAGTCCTATACTTTGGCATCATTGATATCTTACAAGATTATGACATCAGCAAGAAATTAGAGCATGCATACAAGTCTCTACAAGCTGATCCCACATCAATCTCAGCTGTTGATCCGAAGCTCTACTCTAAGAGGTTCCGAGATTTCATAGGAAGAATCTTTGTAGAAGACAGGTAGTAGTACTCAAAAGGAAAACTGAAATAAAAAGATCCTGGTGGTTCAATCCTGCGTGCTCCTTTATAGAATGATATGCCTGGAATTATGCAGTTCCTGGTGTGTTGCTGAGCTAAAAACTCTTGTGGGAGAGAGCAAGCAAGTGAAAGGTGGGGTTGAAGCTCAGCATGATCAGTTTTTGCAGCAGTGATGAACTAATGGCTGAATTTTAAGGATCAGCCATTGCAATGGTGTTGGGGGCTAGGAGGGCAGGTAGGTTGTACATTCCATTCAGAGTGTAAGGAAATTTGGATTCCAATGGTTTTTTGTTTCTTAGGGATGGTGGGGAGGGTTGATATATTTTTGTGGTTACCAAGGAATGGGAATGAAGAAGATAAAAAGATAGGGTATAGGGAACAGAGAAGTTTCCCAGAGAAGATTCAAAGTGGGAATAAGAAAGTGTACAGCTTATTATAGGAAGGATGGATAGATTATGGAATTCCATGATTTTTAATTTTGTGAGATACTACTCTCTTTTTTTTCCCTTTTTTTTTTTAAAAAAAATATTGGTATTGTATATACATGGGAATGGGGGTGTGGAATGGGATGTAGTAGTAATAATAGAACAGAAGTGGGATCATTACTTTGCTTTTTGCAGTGAGAGGTTAAAGGCATGAAAAGGAGAGAAAGCTAGAGAAAGATGCGCTGCTATTTCTTATTCTTACCCACTTTGTTCACCCTTCTCTTCTTTTTACTGTTTTTCCATTCTTCTGTTTAATCTTGGGAAAGCAATTCAATTACTACCATACTGCTATCAGTTCATTGCAGTATTTATTTATTTTACTTTGTCATTTCTGGGCACCGAGGCCACCTAAAATGTGACCATCAACATTGTAGTTTTATCATTTTGGTAGAAAATTTGGGTTCAAATAAGGTTTTTATGGGGAGTCGTATAAAAGAAATGAGCAAGTGAAGGGGTCAAAGGCAACGTAGGGGCGGGCGAGTTGGGTCTTTTTGACCTGAGTTCTGTTTTAGGTGCTTCTACTGTAGACCCCACTGTTTTGCTTTCTTTGCAACTATCAAGTATGGGTATTTTATTTTACAATACAAATGAAAAATATGAATTATTAGATAGAGACAACATTTAACATTAAGGACTCATTTTCAGCTAATAAATTAAATTAAGTTTTGCAATTAGAACTTATACAATGCTTTTTTTGGGGCAATATAAATCTCTTGAAAGCTCAATGTCTTCTAATATTAGCCAATAAGCATGGATGGCTTGAAATGCTTTACTGTATCTTGATTTTGAGTTTTGTTGTATGGTTCCCCTCCCTATCTAGCTCAGAAAATGAAATTGACAAGACATGAATTGATTTATCCCTAATTTGACACTTACTTAATGATAAAGTAATTGGGTAGGACAATTTTAATTGAGCATCTGATCTAGTAATTGTTAAAAAGTAAAAATTGAAGAAAACATCAAGTTTCTTTCTTTCTTTCTTTCCTGCATTTTCTAGGTAACCAAACAGCAAAAGACGTGCACGGTTCTCAAAAGAGGCCAATGAGGGGGAATAGGCCTGCCACTTGGTCTGGGCATAGCCTAAAAGCAAACAAATCCCAATTTATTTATTTCTTTGAAAAAAATTTTGGCACAATTTATTATTTCATTGAAATTGATACAAATAAATAATTTCAAACCCCCACACACAGTCACGTGATTATATATTTTACAAGATAACATAAAACATGTGAAGTATATTGATTCATGCTAAATCATCTTAATTTTTTCTATCTCTATATAAA